ATTTTTAACCTTTAGTATGACCATGGAAGTATAAAACAGATGGAAGTTCATCGAGACGCAAACATCAAAGCAATTTCAAGTCGTCTCGGGAGTATACTTGTAACCGACAATAAAAAAAAACAAGTTCCACTGGACAAAAAAAAAAAAAATTATTTTATTAAAAAATCAAAAAATAAACTATTCTAGGGATATGTACAAGGCCTTCTTTATTCGAAGGCCTCGACACCGTGCGGGAAATTTTTTGACTGAAGGCCGGTTTTAAAAAACCTGTTTAAAGTTGTAAAAGCTGTAGCTGCTTTCAAAGAAATTTAAAATAAATAATTTATGATGCCTTTAAAATGCTGCGTACCAAATTGTTACTCAAATTATAAGTCTTCAGATTGTAAAATATCTGTATACAAATTTCCTCGTGAAATATCTGAAAAAAACAAGTGGTTTATGAGTATTCCTCGCTCACACTGGACTTTAACAAAATATAGCGTTGTTTGTAAATTGCATTGGCCAGAAGATGCCGAGTTTACTTTATATTGTGGTAAATTGAGACCAATTAATCCTCCATCAGTGTTTCCAAATATATCTAAAAGTTGTCTATCCTCTCCACCACCAAAAATGAGAAAAACTTTATCTTCTTCTTCAAAAAGAGGTATCGAAAAAGATGAAATAGAAGATTATAGAATAATTGATAATTTAAAGTTTGAGGATATTGAAAAATACTTATCTACTGAAAATGATGTAGTTACTTACAAGCAAAACAATTCTATTTTTATTCAGTCTAAAGTTTTTAATTGTGGGGTTCCACTATTTTTGCTGATAATTAATCAAAGTTTAATGTTTGAAGCATTTCATTATGGTTCAAAATGTATTGTTAAACCTCTTTCGAAAAATAGAATAACTTCATTTAATACAAAGTCAGTTAAATGAAGCTCTTAGATATCTAAAAGTTAAAGATGAGGATCATAAAACCCTAGTATTATTTCAGCATCTAAATGTAATGGGAAATCATTCTGTTGGCTTAACTGTATATACACCTGATATAATAACCAGGGGTTTTGAATATTTTGCAACAAGTCCTTCCACTTACAATCAATTGTGTTGTGATTATCAGTTGCCAAGTATTCGAACTTTAACTCGTATAGCTTCAAAAATAAATTCTCAAGACAATTTGGTTTTTTTAAGTTCTGTGCAATTAAACCTTGAGGAAAAAAAAAAGAAATTGTGTTTTATTGATAGATGAAGTTTATGTCAAAGCTGCTTTATTATATCAAAGTGAAAATATTTTTGGAAAAGCTGTTAATAATCCAGAGAAATTAGCTACTACTGTACTTTCATTTATGATCAAAGTCTTTATGGTGGTCCTGAATTTTTAGCAAGAGTTTTACCAGTTACTAATCTAACATCAGATTTCCAACTAGATCAATGCAAGTTAATTGTAGACACCATAGAAAGTTCTATATGTAATGGCAAAGTAGTTGCAATAATTACTGATGGTAATAAAGTTAACCAAAGCTTTTTTTCTAAATTCAAGACAGTAGATGGAAAACCTTGGTTATGTCAAAATCGAAATGACATATATGTCCATCTTTTAAAGTGCATTAGAAATAATTGGCTGACAGAAAAGTTAAGTCAGTTGCTGTTTATTTATAATGAAATATCTTATACTGCAAATTGGAGAGATTTAGTTAACTTATATACACTTGAAAAAAACCAATTATTAAAGTTATCAAAGTTGACTGAAACATCAATAAATCCTAAACCAATAGAACGACAAAAAGTAAGTACTTGTTTGCAAGTATTCAGTGAAGAGACAGTTGCAGCTCTAAAAACGCATCCTAAAATAGACCAAGAAAGTGTCAAGGGTACTATTATTTTTTTGGAGTTGATTATAGATTTTTGGAAAATAGTAAATGTTAAATGTCCTGGTGCTAATCTTAGATTCAGGGATGAGTCCCGTAATGTAATTAGATCTTCAGATGACTTTAACTTGAAAAAATTGCTTGCAATTGCAACAATGGCAGAAAATATGAAACCAACATCTGGTAAACGAGTTCGCCAGCTAACAAAAGATACAAGCAATGCACTTTCACATACCTGTCGTGGCCTAATTGATTTATCTTGCTATCTTTTATCAACTGGAAATAAATATGTAATTTTAGGTTGGTTTTCTTTGGATCCGATTGAAAAATGCTTTGGAAAATTACGTCAAGGATCAGGTGGTACTTATTTTATAACCGCTAAATCAGTTATTGAAAAAGTACGTATTCAGCATGCTAAGCTGGTGCTGCAGCTAAATATTGATGTAGAAGGAAATGATGGCCATGACTGTCTTTTATGTCTTGTAGATTTAGATGATAGGGAAATCGATATTGTTTACAATTTAGCAGATCTAGAAGATAGCATAAATATAGAAATTTTATATTCTGTTGTCTATATTGTTGGTTATGTTCAAAAGTGTTCCCCTGAAGAAATTGGAGATGATACAATTATTTGAATGATTATTATGAAAAATACGGAAATTATTTAAATAATTTAAATAGGGGAGGACTAACTATTCTATCTGACACTTGATATCTGACACTCAATGGTCCTTATTTTGCTATATATTTTTTTCTTTATTATATAAAAGAGTTTGCAGAACATTTCTGATTCGACAGTTTACATTTATTGCAGAATTCTACGAATTTTCTATTTCAAAGAAACAATGCCAAATACTGGCAAACATTTTTTCAAAGAACTTTACATTACTTCACACTCCTAAATATAATAAAGAAACTAAACTCAAAGAAATTAAGTTTATGTAAACGTTTTTTTTTCCTATTTAGTACAAAATTTTTATTTTTATATTACTTATTATATCTTTTAAATTAAAAATCTCAATTGAAAATGTTTTAATTTAACTTTACTTTTAATTAACCTCAATAAATTATTTTTGCAATAAGAAATTAAGATTTTTTTCAAACAGACTGTGTTAAATTTTAGCAAAGCTATATAACTTTTACCGGTCCGCCATTTTTTTTTTTATCGGTCTTCGGTCAAAAAATTTCCCGCACGGTGTCGAGGCCTTCTAATAAAGAAGGCTTTGGAAACGTGGCAAAGTTTTAACCGTTAATAATTGCAATTATTCAGCATAAGGTTTATTAAAACTCGTTTATTAAATAGAGCCGCTTGATTTTAAGAGCATATGTTAGTTTAAGCATGGACGTATAAGAGATGGACGTGCAACTTATTGCGAACTATGCTTAATAATTAGGCGTCTGTATTGTTACAAGTCTATTGTTTCAAACAAAAGAAAATAGTTATGATTCTATACGTCGATTTTTTTTTAACGATTTATTGAACTTGTTTAGTCAGTCAATTATAGTTTTTCATAATGCTATTGTTAAAAAATTATGAACAATCAGGGCAGTACTTTAGTTGTTATAACATTAACATAGTTCGTAAACATTCACAAAATTAAGTAAAAGTTGTGTATTAAAAATATGTAAAATGTAGTTCTTTGTGATTTTATAATAAAAAACTAATTTTTAAAGCAAATAGCAAGTATGCAATTACGATGTTATCATCGAAGTTATTTTAGTAGTTAAGAAGTAATACAATAAAAAAAGTACATCTTTTAATAATTTTTATATTTTATCTAAATACACTAAGGTAATTTGGTTAATTGTAGCCTAGTTTTGAAAGCAAACTGTTTGTTATAAAAGTTAATAATAAAATTAGCATTAATATAATTAAATTGAAACAGTTTGTATCACGTTAGGATGATTAAATTAATTTCAAACCGGAGTTTTTTTTATTTATTAACATAACGTATAATAAAAGAAGGCAAAAAAAAGCGGCATGTCGGAGAAAACAAAAAAATATATTGAAGTTGAAACAAAATGAGCAAAGAATTTAGACTCTGAATGGTAAGAATACTAACTGAAATATAAAATATAAAATTTGACTAAAATATCCAATCAACAAATCTTTTTTAAAAAGCTCTCTCTATGTGTTAATTTTATTGTTGACGTTTACTTAAAAACAGGAAGTATTTGTCTAAGTATTATAAAAAATCTGTTATTATATCTTTGTATTTGTAATAAACATCATTTATTTATGTTTGATTTGAACAATAACTTGCAAGCACATAAATGATTCAATTTTTACAAAAATAACTTTACAGAATCGTCTATTAAATCCTTACTAAAAATCTTTTATTGGCAGCCATTTTAAATACTTTTTATGCTTATGACGGAATATTTTGATAAGATCGTGAAAACGCATGGCTCGCTGATTTTGGCGGTTTCTTTGATGTAAAACAAAAGGTTCATCGTCCATGGTTTAAGCTTCTTTTCTAGTTTTAAGTCATAACACGACATTTGATTAAAAAGACAACTAAAACAATTTTTAAAAAAATCAAAAAAATTGTTTTCAAAATAACTTAAGTTTAAAGCTTCATTAGCTGTATATCATAGTTCCATTCATTTTTGTAGTACTTCATTCATTTAATAGTTCATAAAAAAGTTGTCGTTACGTTGCGCCATTTCTAATGTTTTTCTTGAATATAATTGGCGAACCTTCGAAATATTATATTTTTAAATTATTATAAACGTATTTATTTGCGTCAACATATAAAGATTAAAGTATAGTCTTGATGTCGTTTTCATATTGTTTACGAAAACAAAAGGTTACAAGCATAGTCTCGAAGAATTTCAATGCGGTTGAACTTCCTTCTGTATGACAAGAAAATTTAAAGAGTTTAAAGTACTTAAGCGGATATTTTAATATTTCGTAATACACGTACACTTTTGTAATAAAAAATATCAAAGTTTTTTATTACTAAGGTATTCATTTATGTAAGCGATGTTGTATTTTTAATAAAGGAAACAGAAAGGACAGTTTTTTGCCAATGCATCGATGAGGTAGTTAGGTCGATTAGATAAATTTTTATCAGAAAATTGAGGTTTGTGTTAATTTTTAAGCAAACGCATGTGGCACACATAAAACAATTATTTAAACAACTA